GTTTGTAACACTGTCACAATAGTATACAACAAAGAGAGCTTCCTGCAACATAAACTAGTTTGTTTAGTTTGTAACACTGTCACAATAGTATACAACAAAGAGAGCTTCCTGCAACATAAACTAGTTTGTTTAGTTTGTAACACTGTCACTATAGTATACAACAAAGAAAGTTGTTGCAACATAAACTAGTTTGTTTAGTTTGTAACACTGTCACTATAGTATACAATAAAGAGAGCTTGTTGAAACGTAAACTAGTTTGGTTAGTTTGTAACATTGTAACTATACTACAGAAACACAACAAGGAGAGTTTATTGCAAAACAAACTATTTTGTTTTGTTTGTAACACTGTCACTATAGTATACAATAAAGAGAGATTGTTGCAACATAAACTAGTTTCTTTAGTTTGTAACATTGAAACTATACTACTAGAAGAGTAACGAAGAAGAAATGTGCACCTGCCAAAAGCGTTAAGATTTTTGATATTTTGATTCTTTGTAATGTGATGTAGTTACCTTAAAGCGAGTGTAGAAAACTTTCTAAGAAAGCCAATATTTAATATTTCTCAGCACGTATCGGTCAAGATAAATGTCCACTCACAGAGATTTAAACAACACGAATACCTTGAGTTTGACTTATAAAAAAAAACCGTTAATTTCAAAATATTGCTATTTTAAAATCAAAATGTCATATCACGTGATAATAGCTATAGAGCTAAAGAAGATTGTTTAAAATTACGGTTTTTTCACATCTTATAGATCAAGGGCAATTAGGTTTCCCATTTTTTTTTTAAATAAATTCAGTGACAACATCAGAAAACTAGTTGTTAAAATGAAACTATAATTTGTGCTAAGCATACATGTTAGTTTGTACTGTATGCGTTTATGTTTTAATATAACGCTTTTCTCTTTACTGTATGGTACTAGTTGTGGTCGTTTATTTTGAAATTCTGTCGTTTTAATAAACAGAAAAATGATGATTTCGTTTCTAGAACATTCTTAGCATCGCTTAGATTAAAAGAAAAGGCGTACAGGATTTATTTTCCCCTTTCATCAAGGTTATTAAATTGAACAACCATTACGCAAACTGAGCGTGTTATGTTTAAAATATAGGTGCAGCTAATGGCGTCATTAAATACTAGGCATGTATGAATCATCCCGTTTCTCGCGTATTATGTAACCGGTTCTTAGTTGCTTCTGGCAAACACGAGTAATTTACTTGAAGCTGATAAACGTGTGACGTCTAAATGATAGATTTCGTCAATTCGAAAAATTATTATCTTATGATGTTTCAACCTTTAGGACATGATTTATTAACTCGTAAAAACTATCGGTTTTTAAACTGATTGAATTTCAACGAACGATGGTAGTTTTTAAGCTGGTTCGTTCATACTGTGCGTTTTAAAGAAACACTATTTCTTATAGGCCTAATAATTTGCTATATCTTTTTCAATTGATATTTACGTTTATTAAACATAAAATGGCATGATTCAGTTATTACAAAATCGGTGGTCTACAATAGAGCTAGAATCTTAATTATTTTTTCTAGTTCAGATTTTCTATAACCATGTTTTGAAGAAGAAGAAAAAGGATTCAGAAGATTGTAATACAATTTAATAATAAGTAGATTTCTACCAAATTATTCTTGCCAAGATACTGTTTCTTTATTCACAACAATGCATCCAAATTAGTCATAAAAGTGATGGATGACGTCACAAGACAATAATATACTTTTTTCCATGTCTGGAATAAAATGTTTGTAAATGTTACAAAAATTAGTTCTGTTACGTCTCTGTTCGTTTGTTAATTTCCGTAGAAATTCTTCCCGAGAAACTTCAGCGATACAAGTCCTTTCTTAAATAAAACTAGTTTATTCTTTCTCAATACAACTTTGCAATACACTTAATTTCCACAGTGACTTTAACTTAAACACACGCTATAATTCCCAACGAACGATTCGCGCATTTTTTTTAATACTGCGCTTCCCTCAATTGCCCGTCTCTATTTCTGCCTGTCTGCAATTCTATGCCGATTCATTGTCTGGCGCACTTATAGAGGGCGCCTAGCAAATACTGGATTATTCGTTATGTTCCCCGATCTTTCTAGAACTCATTACGTGTTACCAGCGTCACGTGACTTCGGCTATCGTAACAGTTCTAACAATATACTTTTTCCATATCGTCCAATAATAGTTACATAGATGTTATAAAACTGGTGTTTAACGTTACAATACTACCGTACACTATTTCCTTACCAGGAACAATTATTTTATGAACGTTATGAAGTCATTATTGGAAGTTACAATACAGCATCTCTTTTTTTTCCACATCCGGAATAATCATTTTAAAAATGTCATAAAAGACCCCAGTCAACAACATACTGTTTAACTATAATTAAAATAATAACTGCACCTTTATATCTTTTAATTATTTAATAGCAAGGTATTTAAAGTGAAAAATACAAATTATTTTCAAATGAATACATTTTAAAAGCAATATAAAAAAAATCTGAAATTTTGTGAGGGCCCTGCAGATTGTGAGGCCCTAAGCTGTAGCTTGTTTAGCTTATGCCTAAATCCGGCATTGGTTTCTGTGTAATAATATGTGTGTACGTTAACCAGTTACACAAGTCCATGTTTCTGTAACAGAATAATTTCGTGAACAAATATGTTATGTGTGTACATCATCTAGAGATATAGGCGTATATGTTTTTTTCTTAGGACCTTTGTCTTATATTGATGATGATAATAAATCACGTAGGATCAAAAGTTAAATGAGTCACAAATTAAGAAACCCGCTAATCATATCGTTTTCGGAAGGTAGACCCTCCTTTTTAATATACCCCTAAAAGTTCTATGGTTATCGGGTTTGTTATTTTACATCTCAGGATTGTTTAAGCATGTAAATGAAGGGTCGTTCCTGAAATCAGTAATATATATAGGTCTAAGTAAGCCGTGAGTCAGTAGCAAGTTTCATGTTACTTTGAACAAACATTAGCAAACGAAAGAGGTTTAAACGCTACGTTTGGCGGTTATCGCAGTACTAAATTTGATTTTCCGTGATCACTAAAATACAGATAAAGTTAAAATGGGGAGCCATTCGCATCTTACGACGCCCTCTGGCGATACCCATGAAAAATGTTGCTGATCACAAATATTTTTCAGTTTGAGGCTCAACTGTGGAAAATCTATCATTAAAACGCATCAAAAGTTTTCATTTTTCTTTAAAGCAACGCTAATCACTTCGTATTAATCCTGGGATCTAGATTGAGTTTTACGCTTGAATGTTTAAATCTTTTTCTTGATACATGTTTCGAACAGTACTTGAAGTGGGGCAGCATGCCATCCCGCTAACTTTTATTATTAATAAATAAAAAACACACATGAAAATCAAGAAACAAAGTACTAAGCTTCAAAAATTCCTCAAATCACCCCCCCCCCCCATCACACTTTAAGTATTGGTTTCCAGTAAAATTAGTCCAGACCTCTTTCGGTGAATAGTTAAACTTTTTAAAACTCTTAGCTAACTGCTTAAGAAACTAACTAGAACGCTAGCTTTCGAATAGCAAGATTTTTTTATAGAGTCGATGAGTTAAACTAATCCTTGAAAATTAAGGTTTTGTAATAATTTGTGCCATAAAAACTATTGGAAGAGTAATGATCTGACGTTTCATAACAGCCGATGAGGTGGATTTGGAGGTGATGGTTAAAAAGGACGGGGAAAAGCCAATCAGTTGTGGTAGATTTAAAGGTCAAACAGGTATGTGAAAATGTATGTTTTTATGTTCAATCAGCACGTACAAATCTGTTGTTTTTTAACGATGTTCATTACACAGGCCTGCGATGGTTTTATTGTACAGTACGCTGAATCCGAAAAATTTTCACAAGACGTCATATGTACTTTTATATAAGTGAATCATTTTCGTTGAAATCGGGGTCACATTTTGTTATGCTTAAAATGTTGACATCCGCTGGCTATAGATTTCTCTAGACCAATTTGATCTAAGTAAGAATTTTTTACCTTCCAGATTTGTAAAAAATCCTGACGGCATAGAAAAAAAATGAATATTATTTTCGAAATCTGCGTAGCTGAATTATGGGAAATCCGTTATTAAAAACCAAAACGACTTTTATGAAGTTTAAATTCGCAGGCCTGTATTATCGTTGTAAATAACAAATAATGATAACGTATCGTGTTTTAATATTATTGTGGATGATAGTAATGATTCAACAGTCTTCGTTACTTTATTTTTGTATCTGTAAAACCTATTTTATTACGTACTCGTCTTTCTTACAGATAGCTCATTGTGTAACTTTGTGCTGAACTACGACGTTTCAACCTACTTAGATCATCACGAGCTATAAAATAACGGTTCTTTAATTCCATTAAGTTGATACAGCAAAAGAACGTTGTAACACGTATTAGGATATAATAATGTGTTGTCACTAGTGGCAACAAGGTATCAATACTATTGTTATTATTTAAAACTCACCGTGATGTAGTTCTAAATATTTATCGCATCAAAATTAACAGAGAAATCTAAAATAATTCTGCAGGAGAACGTAGTAGTTTTATTATTCATGATTTTTTTTCTTTTATACTTATAAAACAAAACATTTTATACTAAAAATGTGAGAGTCTAATGTGACGAAGAGAATAAAAAAAAATACACTTCACAAAAATCTTGATTCTCAATGATCTGAAACCCTTCGCATATTATACGGTGGTGCCCTCGCTCGGACGTTAGTTTACATATTGCTAGTAGGCAGGCTACCAGAACAGCGTATATAATTAACATTAAAAAATGGTTGATTTCATCCTGTACAGACTTTTATTCATCAGGTAGCTGTTTCCTTATAAAAACTATGTTTCATTCAAGGTGTCCACGTGTCAAAAGTGTTCTACTGCCCAAAAAACACTTCCGGTCGACATGTCCATGTCAAGGATAACATGAAGACGAAACATTTTTTTCAGCTCTGCGAGGTGGAAGTTTTTCTGGACAGAGGTAAAGTTCATGGTAAAAAAAAAAGCTATGAATGAACGGATACATTACTGAACTTATACCTAAACTTGTGTATATTGTACTCATATGTTAACTGAGATATGTATTGCTATGAAGTGTCATATAACAATGTGATTTTGGAAAGCATTTTTGTAACAATTTTAACATACATAGTGTTGTATGTTATTGTAAGTATTTTACGGTTACTTTGTGAATATGTGTAGCAAGTTTGGCCAATAATCATGATTACATGTTTTAGTTTTTGATTAAATTGTATTATCTTTTTAAGCTATGTAATCGAACCCAAGTAATTAATTAGGCATCACAGACAGTGCCTCCTAGCGGAAAGGTGCACAGTTACCATAGTAACTACTAATCTACAAGCGGTGTGGATGATACATAAATGGTTATAGTTCCGACTTGTTTTTAGTGGTTTTGTTATTACTTATCCTCAGTAAATTGTCCAAGAGATAAGCTCGAGTAAACACGGTGTAGAGTTGTTATTATGCTATATGAGATTGTTCGCGGAATTAAGTAAAACGTTGGAAATTATTTTACTGGATCTATCGTTTAGACACTTTTGCGCGAAAGGATAATATTTCATGCTTCTATAATAAAGTTTTGAGTTTTATTTCTCACAAAGTAAATGAGCCATGTTCTAATGCTCTCATCTGAAAGCTAAGCAATTACGTCATCAGGCGTGTCACGTGCCACTAATATTAGTACAATTATAAATATACTAGCGTAAAAAGAAAGTGACTTTTAGTGTTTTTTTATAACCCATTTTCAATTTAGAGTAAGGAACAAAGATGCAAAATCCTACAATAAATTTGGTACGTCTATTATTAAATAGTAGAAAATGAACGTAGTGATCAAGAGACCATAAAATGTCAATTTATTGAAAATGTTTGTATAGTTAAGATAATATTTATAATATCATATTGTATGATCAGCAACTGTTATGGTTTGAACTCGTATTAAGTTGTTGAAGTGTAATATTATCAATTATATATGAATTATATTAATCTAAAGTTAAGATAAGGATTAATAACAAAGTATTATTTATTTACTAGCAGAGACCATAAAACATTTGTGTCAAATTAATATCTTTTATTGCAACAGTACTTCTATAAATACAATATTTCTAAAATAATACAAAGGGAATTCTAATCACAGATACCAAAATCCTTCAGTTCATTTGTTTTAGGCCTAACGTTATGTTGCGTCATCGAGTCACATGACTACTGTGACGCAACGTTTCTAGAACTATCATGTACTT